AAATTAAATTAAATTAAATTTTCAAACCTTCTCAATTGGCTTCCTCCTCAAATTACTATTATTCAGGCCTTTTCTCCACTCTTTCAGACCGTTACAGCCTTTACAAAGCTTTTCTGCCTCTCTTTGGCTTCGCTGCCTCAGCAGCTAAGAGCCTTTGCGGCCAGCCTACAAGGTTCGCCCTCAGGCTCCCTTATTGCCATTCGTTGCTGACGCGCTGCCCGAAGAGCACCAGCCTTTGAAGTTTTACTGCAGCCGAGCACCAGAGGGACGATTGCTGTAGTTGCGCACACTGGAAAAGCCTCCTTTCATCGCGGCGGCTACAGGGATCGTTTTCCAAGCTGCCTCTTCTTCTTGCCGCCAACAATTCCTCTCCTGCGCCGGAGTGCTTGGCGGGCAGCAAACTGCCGGGCGATAAGCTGCCTTGTCGGCTCGCCACCTCAGCCCTTCCTCAGGGCCCTGTCTACTCAGAAGGCAGTTAATTTAGGTGCGAAAACAGTGGCGGCCATTTTGGTTGGGCGGAAAGCCTTCGATGCTTCGGAGTAATCGTGAGTAATGGCTACCAACGGGACCATTTCCAAGGGGGGATTCACCCAATCCAGTTGCACCTTCTGCTCCAGTCCCCTCTGAGCCCAGGAGCAAAAAGAGAGGCTATTTCAAGCCTTCTGCTACCAAGCCTGCTAAGGCCCCTAGGCCTGCTCCTCCTCAGGAGGCCCAGGAAACTACTACTCCTAGTGCAACTACTGACAAGGCCTCTGATCCTGCTCCACGAAAGGCCACTTCCAAAACCAATCATTGCTCTACTCCTGTCCCCGCTCCTAGGGTTTCTCCTCCATCTAATTTCAACCCCATGGAGGACCTCTCCACTGATACCGATGGGGATATCTCTCCCCCAGCTTCTCCCTTAAATCCACAGGATGGGATTGGATTTCAAGGGAATTCTGATTCTGAAGGGGATGGCAGCGTCACCCCGGACATAGATGTGGGTTCCCCTGCCCCCAGGGCTGTCACCATCACTCCTGATATGGCTGACATCATAGCTGCTGCCATTGAGTGGGGCATTGCTGCAGGCCTTCAGCATCGGCCTCCTGGTGCCACCACACCTCATTGTTCCACTTCCAACAAATCTAAGAGGGGGCGTTCTAACCATGCCCAAGGGGCGACTTCTGCAAGCGTTTCTCAGCCTCCTGCTGTGGACACTGAGGAGCAGGTCACTCGTGATTCCGATCTGTCAGAGGATGAGGACCCCTGCTCCTTCTACCTTATTGGGCCTGTTCAAGCCTGCCTTGTTTCGTTCCCTCTTGTTTAAAGCCAAGAAGGTTTCTGATATTTTGGCTTCAAAACCATCCTCCTCCACGGAGGCCGACAAGTCAGATACCACAGACACCCCTCTTTTCATGTTCTCCCATCGAAAAGGACATAGTTCCTTCCCCAAAACTCTTTCTGGAAGTGATTCAAAATCAGTGGGCTTCTCCAGAGTCAGGGCCTCTTTTTTTTAGTCTGGACAAACAGTTGTATAATGCCAGCTCAGAGCTCTCTAAACTTTTGGAGGTTCCTTCCATTGATCTCCCCGTGGTGTCTTTGTCATCACCTAATGCGGCCACTACTGCTCCAGAGGACGCTCTCCACCCTGAGGACAAACGCTTTGAGCAGTCACTGGTAAAGGGCCATCAGTCCGCCGCATGGGCGGTCAAGGCCCCTCTTCTTCATTTTTCAACAGGGCTGCTCTTTGTTGGCTAAAGCAAATGCAGGACAGGATCTCTCCTGGAGATTCCCACGCTCACCAAGATATCAGCAAGCTCAAGGCGGCAATGGAGTACGTGGCAGATACCTCTCTGGATGCGGCACGTTTCTCTTCCAGGTCCATGGCTTTTAACATCAGTATGAGGCATCTTCTTTGACTGAAGCAGTGGCAGGCAGAAGCCAGAGAAAAGTGGTGACTGGCATCCGCTCCTTTCTCACCCGGTCTGCTCTTTGGTCCTCCTCTGGAGCCTGAATCCAAGGACAAGCACAAGGTGCTTCCTTCTGCAAACCGCAAGTCTGACCCTAAACCTTCTTTCTTCCGCAGGTTGTCCTTTCGAGGGATGGACGGGGGATTTGCCTACCCCCATCCTCAGCATCAGGCTCCCCCGAGACAAGGCCATCAGTTCTAGGACAGGTCCAACCGGAACTCTCAGCGGTTCTCCTATTGGAAGCCCTTCAAGGGCTGTTCAAAGCATACCTTTTGAAAGCAGAAATGAAATTTCTGGCAACCTCCCTATTGTCTACCTTCGCTGATCGCTGGGATGACATCACCAGTGATTCCTGGGACAAGTGTACCGTCCGTTTTGGCCTGGCCCTGGAATTTCTTTCTAGCCAACTTTGGTACCTTGTCCCATCTCCAGGGACATTTCCAAAAGACTTCTGGTTGAACTAGCTATCGGACATCTCCGGATTCAAGCCATTGAGGAGGTGCCCCCTGAGCAACAAGGGTGGGGTTTTTATTCCCGTCTCTTTATAGTGCAGTCTTCGGGGGGGTTGGAGAGCAATTCTCAACCTCAAATTTCTAAACAAATTTGTAGTCTACAGGAGGTTTAAAATGCATTCTCTGTTGTCCATTCTGGAGAGCATTCAGTCCAATGACCTTCTTTCCTCCATTCATCTCACAAAGGCATACCTCCATATCCCTATTCTTCCAGATCACAGGAAATTTTTCCATTTTTCTTACAATGGGAATCACTTCCAATACCATTTGGCTTATCATTGGCCCCGAGGGTTTTTACTAAGATTCTTGCTGCTCTGGTGGCTCATCTCAGATCTATGCTGGTTAGAATTCTGTTATCTTGATGATATTTTGTTACTATCCAGGTCATCGCATCAGGCCCTCCGGGACATCCAGCTCACCCTTCAGACCCTAGAGGACCACGGCTTTCTGATCAACTTAAAGAAGAGTCATCTGCAGCCCACGACTCGTCTCACGCATCTGGGGGCAGTGATAGACACTTCTCTGGAACAGGTATTCTTATCTCCAGAAAGGCAGGTGAACATTCATGACATGGTCTCATCCATCTGTGACCAAGAGGTGGTTCCGTTCATCCAACTGTCTCAATTCCTGGGCAAGATGGTGTCCGCTTTCTGAGGAGCGAGTGGCCTCCGGGCCTTCGGTATACCTTTCCACCTACTCCACTCATTCAAAGCGTGGTGCGAAAACTACTGGTGGAAAGAGCAGAACTAATCTTGATTGCTCCTTGGTGGCCCCGCCGACCCTGGTTTACCGACCTCATGAGCCTCTCCGTGGCTCCGTGGCAACTGCCCCAGTTCCCCCCGCTACTCCTCCAAGGGGCGTTCCAACATCCAGACCTTCCGTGGTCGCGTCTCACCACTTGGAGGTTGAGCGGGAAACTCTAAGGACTGCGAACCTGTCTGCGGAGGTCATTCGAACAATTCAAGCCTCCAGATGGCCTTCGACTAACCGCATTTACGATGCCACCTGGACTCAATTCTCCGTCTGGTGTCACTCAAAGGCATTGTTTCCCTTGAGGCTTCTGTTCCTCATATTCTCCAATTTCTGCAGCGGGGACTGGACCTAGGGATTTTGCCAAACACCAGGTTGCGGCCCTGTCCTCAGACCTCTCTCTGACTTCTGCTCAGTCTCTCTCATGAACCTCTGGTCCGTTGTTTCTTGAGAGATGCCACAAACATCAAGCCACCGACAATACACAGATTCCCTACCTGGGATGTCACCAAAAACATCCTTATCTTAACTCAGTCTCCATTTGAGCCTTTGCATTCTGTGTCCTGCATGTTTTAACATTAAAAGTGGTTTTTCTTGTAGCGATTACCTCGGCGAAGCGAGTTTCTGAGTTGGCAGCCTTGTCCATCAGACAAGATTTATGCATCTTTCATCCAGATAAGGTAGTCCTTCGGCTTGACCCAGCCTTTGTACTTAAGGTAAATTCTGTTTTCCATAGAACCCAGGAATTGGTGCTTCCTGACCTCTGTCCTGGCCATCACACAGGCTGGAACATAAGTGGCATTACCTCA